CGTAACGTTGGTGGGTTTGGGCAATGACAAGTAGCTTTTAAGCCCAGAGAAAGTAGGAGCGGAAACAACGTAATTTGGGAGGGCTTTCCATGGCTGGAAGACACGAAGAGAAAAAGTTTCGCGGATATTCTAGCTGATTGTGTTCCGTACCCAACTTGACCTAGTGGCGGAAGACGTGGTCGGGGCTCCGTAAAGTCTGGCAGGCCATAATAAGATCACAACGTTGGCGCCGATACCGTCCTTTGTACAAGTTTAGAGCTCTCAACGTAATTTGATATGGCTGATGGAATAACCCTTTGACTTGCTTCATGGCTCGTCGTTGTGGAGTCTCGAGCGCTGCGAGGTCATCCTTGATGCAGGGCTGTCAGGTCTGAGTTACGAATTCCACATGAGAGTGCACGTATATGATAAGCCACTGCGCACAGTTGGAGGGATGAAATCGTCCAAATGCCCTACGCAGCAAGCCAACGTGTTGGTTCCAAGTCTTTGACGCTTTCTCAAATTATTCTGAGCAGCCCAAATAAGCCTAACCTCAAGGTCGCTGTCTTGGGTGGCTGCTTGCCGAACATGGTATTCAAGCTTGTACAAGATGCTCAGCTAGTGACGAATGTGCATCACCTTACACTTAGACGAATTAAAGCGAATCAGCTTGTGGTGATCATGCGTACGCTCAGTCCAGATCTCGCTGAAGGGCATCGTGATCCGCTGAATCGGCTCTCGTCCACCACACCTTAACATCATCAGCGAAATCAAAAATTTGGAAGGAATCAAACGCATAAGCTCGTTAATCAACACAAACAACAGACACGGCCACAGAACCGATCCTTGTAAAACTCCACATTCAACGTGCATAGAATTAGACAGGGTATTCCGAACTCGAACTTGCAGCTATCGATTCTGCAGCAAACTCCTGACTCACCCAATGACAGTATCCCCAGATCCATAGCTTCCGAGTCTGTGATGCAGAATGCAGTGCTACAGTCGGTCGAAGACTTTGAAGAACTCGAAGCAAATTACGTCGGACCCTACACCTTTGTTAACCGCTTCCATCCAAATACTGCGTGCAACCAGTAGCTTTCGTTGTGCATGAACGGTGTTGACGGAAATCGTACTGCTCAATTGCTATGATGTTGTGGCGTTCTAGATGGTCGACTAAAGTTCCAGCTATGATTGCCTCCATCACCTTTGAGAGTACAGGAAGGAGAAGCACTGGCGATGGTTCTTTGGTTCGGAGCGATTACCACCTTTAAACTTTGGCGTGATTATACCATGTCTTCCTATGCGGTAGGCAAAGTTTGCTCATCCAAGCATGTTCGGAAAAGATTCATTATTGGTTCGGCCAGTGTTGTTGCTGCGACGTTCAGCGCACTCAGGTGAATGTAATAGATTGCGTGAGAACTGTAGATGCGCAGTGAGTGCAGTTCCTTCTACACAAATGTTGCAGTTAAAGCAATGTTACTAAGTTGGAAACTTGGGTCTATGGATGCAGGTATGCACTAGTGACGGATGTCTCGTTGAAACTTCGGGTCATACGGCATGCATAGGGTGTTCGCCGTTTCTTCAGCGCTCTGTGCCACTCCGACTGTCGTGTTAAGTAGGGGGATACCGTGCTCCACTTTACTAATGTTGCCAACATGCTCATGTAGAAGCATATTGTTGTTAGCAAATTTACGAGCCAAATCTTCTTGGGAGCCACCTTGTCCTCAAGGACAAGCGTAATAAAATGGTTGCGCTGAGTTACGTAGTCGTTCCCGGTTTCGGGATCAGGACTGGCTGTGTAAGTGTGCTAAGCTGTATTTTTTAGTGACGCATTCGCGAGATACACTTCGGCTGAACAAAGATGGATTGGTGGAACGAGCTCTTAGCTTCTGAAGCAGTTGCGGCCAGTTTGCCGAAACGTTCAACAAACTTATTCCAGGAGTTGTCAGCGGAGCCACTTTCCATGAATTCCCAATCGGTCGTCGCTACCAGATCGTTCAGGAGGTTGTAGTATGTAATGGTGCGCGTTAGTTTAGTGTGTTCCTCCGAATGTTCAGCGCATCACACATTTATAGAGTAGGCTGACATGATCACTTTACCGTAGTGGGTTGTCATAAATGGCCCGTATACCATGAGTCCCTCATTTGTATGCACGACGTCTAGCATCGATATTTTGTTATCAGTTATTCACCTGGTAGGCGTGGTGATGTGATCGTACATTAGAATAGTTATGATAACTTACTGCAGTTCGGTCTTCACTATTTCGCTGGGGGATTCCGAGGATTCCAGGTCGTGCGCGTTAAAATCGCCTGTGATGTGAACGTGATTTTAACTGGGGAGTCAGCTTTTTATCAGGGCTGATATTAGTTGGGAATCCAGCTATGGATTGAAGGATGTGGGGCGATAAACGACTGCCACAAAGCAGTCGTCATTGTATCCGAGAGGAAAACAGCCCATAACGAATCGTGGACTTGCGTCTCCGGATTATCCAGTGCTTTGCATTGTAAGTCGTTGCGATAGCATAGGCTTGCACTAATTCACCTACTGGAATGGTCGTGTCGGAGTAGTGACCCCTGAATCACCATCTCGGCATGCGTAGCCTTTGAGTGCAACCACGTCTCGGTTATAGAGATGAGCTCCCATCCTTTTGTTGCCTTACTCAAACGAAGCTCAGCAATTTTGCTGAAAGGGCTTTAGGCACTAATATACCTGTAGGAAAGTGTTTCGGTTCTCGGCAGTGATCCAAAGATATATGGCTCGAATGAGAGATTGCACCGACCGTTGTATGACCGGCCGATAGCCGTTTTGTTGGCATTACTAACGAGTTGCATTGGGTCAGGTTTGGTGGAATCGTGATTATACCCTCCAAGAATTCGGTTTGCACAATGCATGCAGAATGCATGTAGGATTGCAAAGGAGGATCGGCACTTCTTTCAAATCTGCAATCAATGTGAAGCTTGGATGGGATCTCTGCTTCTTTTGTCTACTGAGTTGGTGATTTAAGTCAAGCGGCAGTTTCACTCAGTGGGCAGTCTGTTTTGAATTTATTGCCATCGTTCCTGTGGCCGAAG